TCTTCATAAACTGTACCACAAGCTAAACCTTTCTAGCAACAGAAAAAAGAATGACTTCCTAACAAATTCAACACAGTTGTAACGACCTTTCTGTGTTCACTAAGGTAGAGGCATGCTAGAGGCACAACAAGACTTGTTGCAATGCTAACATGCTTACCAGTTATCATCTTAGCTTATGCTAATTAACAGTAAACACAAAGTGCAGCAGAGGCTGTCATTAATTTGGCAAATCTGATGGTGGTACAAAAGGAAAGCAGTCTCACTGTCTTTCTACATATAGGCTAAAACTGGCGTGTACTTTTATCAGCATTAATAGCTGCCATGTGCCTATTGACAAATAGCCACTATTTATCTGTTGTGTCACATCAGTTCTTTGCTGAGTAAAAAATATTGTAAGAAAGAGAAGAAAGACTTGTGTGGAAAATAACAAACAGAACAAAACACCACTGATATCAGGACTAGCTGGAGGACAAATTATTTTCAATTTGATATGGCGATGAAGGCAAACAGTAAGGGGCGGGGATTAATCATTAATATATATTGCCAAAAGTATTCACTTACTCATCCAAATCATCACTCTATGACTTCAGGTGTACACAATCAAGCACCTAGTCATGCAGACTGCTTCTACAAACATTTGTGACAGAACGGGTCATTCTCAGGTACCATGACGAGATGCATGGATTTCCTCCCTACTAAATATTCCACAGTCAACTGTTAGTGGTATTATAACAAAGGTGGAACGACAGCAACTCAGACATGAAGTGATAATAACAGAGCGTGGTCAGCAGCTGCACACTATAGGCTTCCAAACTCTAAGTGGCCTTCAGATTAGCCCAAACACTACGTGCAGAGAGCTTCATTGAATGAAGTTTTCATGGCTGAGCAGCTGGATCCAAGCCTTACATGACCAAGTGCAATGCAAAGGATGCAGTGGTATAAAGCTCGCTGCCACTGGACTCTAGAGCAGTGTTCTCTGGAGTGACAAATCATGCTTCTCCATCTGACAGTTAAATGGACAAGTCTAGTTCAGCGGTACTTGTCTGACTGCATTGTGCTAAGTGTAGTTTTGTTTGGTGTGAAAGAACTTTACTTTAACCTCAACCCGATAGAATACCTATGGGATGAATTCGAGTGGAGACTGTGAAGCAGGTGCTGTAGTTGCATAAATCATTTTAGCTCGTTTTTATCTGACATAGAATGAAACTTTCAGGAGATTTGGTAACTCAGGGGACCTTAAGCTGTGCCCACACTGGAAGTGTTTCGCTTTGAAACTGACATCTGGTCACTCGCTGACATTCCAGGCTCTGGTTGCCTTCTAGGTCAAGTGTCAATCAACGTGGCAGTCGGTA